AGGAGAATCTTTTAGGTATAAAATTATGGGATAGGACTCTTCTGTGCTTCCTGAGTTTCTGGTCTCCTTTCTCACATCTTTAATGATTGGTCTAGTCTTTTTTTGCCTGGGAGTTAATGCACAGGGAGGGAATCAGTCCAAATGAAAGGCTGGGACTAGGTTGGATTGTGGTTATCACCTTGATACTTAAGGTTATTTTTTCTACCTTGTGAAAAAGAAATACCAGTCCTAGATGGTTGTGATATATTTTGCATACCCACTTATACTTCCATACCCACTCAGATTCTGGACAAAAGCAATTCTGCACGCAGCAATGGCAAAACCATTTGCTCATCTTCTCAGTCTTATTTTCTTTTTTCATATTGTCCTTCTTCACCCTCAATCATTTTGCTCACTTCCAAGAAAGCTGAACCTCCCTCCCCACCCCCCCCACCACAGGCCCTTGGCCACCATGGCAAAGAGCAATTCCCCTGACCACACCCCTTCACCCCTGCCCTACAGAGGCCAGGTCTAGCCCAATCTAGCTGATCAGACAGACTGGTGAGGCAACTTGCTGAGGCAATCCTGCTGGACTGAGACCCACATGGACAGATGATGGCAAGAGGGAATGTAGAGTGTGAGCATCAACAGGACAAAAGAAGCAAGCATGGGAGGGAAGACTGGAAGACAGCAGGCAGCCAGGCCCCACAGCTCAAGCGCTAGTCCAACCCCCATGGCAACCCCAGCGGGATAGGCCCAGCCAGCACAATTGAGCCAAATCCTGAGCTCATTTTAATGGCTTCTGTCCCAAACCTGAGTCACTGGGGATTCCATGGACTTCTAAGAGAGCCCTGCATACACTTCCAAAAACAAACTGCACTATGCTGTCATGGAAAACCTGGATCTTTGCATTCTACAGTTTCACTATGGATTACATCCAGGTCACAACCTAAGGAAGACAGCTGGCACAAAAACAACCCGCTGGCTGATTACCCAGCTTTTGTAATGCATCCCAGAGGGATATGAACCCACGTGTGTTTCTGGCTCTGCCAAGTCCTGGCCAAGCCTCACCTAGTGAAGACCAATCAGCCTGTGATTTATTCTGCCAGGGGAGTCTGAGAAGCCACCTGCAATCAAAACTCAACTGTGGAAGCTGCCTCCAGAAAGAAAAGGAATGGAGAAGTGTGTGACAGGAGGAAACGGAGTGGGAGGAAGAGGTTTGTTTTCCTATTGATTCTATTACTACCTTCTGCTCTTAAGAGAGAGAGAGAGAGAGAGAGAGAGAGAGAGAGAGAGAGATATCTGAAGACACACTTGATCACACAGAGCCCCGGGACTGCTCTTCACCTTGCAGCCCTGTCATAGGCAGACTGTTATATAATGAATTTACCATGTGAACAGAACAAAATCAAGTCTACGATTATAAAAGATGTTCCTATTCTTCAGAATGCAGCAATTCTGGAAAACCCAAAAAATATACTTTGAAATTTGTCAAGAAAGCAGAAATATTTAATAAGTATTGTCATCTGGTGCCATCATTCACCATAGGCAAGCACTGTGCTGGAGTCTTCTTTGTGTTATCTAATACTCAAAGCAGCCTTGAGGTATGTGTAAGTGAAAAAAAAGGCTTAAACAAGTGAGGCAAATTGGCCAACGTTTCACAGCCACTTTAAGGCCAGGTGTGAACTCTTAACTACTGCCCAGAGTGAATGCTGGACACCATGGGTTCACCATGAGGATGAGTCAGCTGGTGCCCCAGTTAGGCAAGGCCTCAAAGGCAAATCCTTCTACCTGTTAACAGTCAATCGTTTGTTTTTTTTTTTTTTTTCTTTTTGAAGTAATTTCAGGTAGGAATTCCACTGCTAGCTGATTCTTTCACACTTAACTTCTAATATCAAGACTTTAATGATTTATATTTTTTATTGACAGGGCTATATAACCCTATGGTCTACTTATTCCTTAAAATTAGGTGTGGCAAAGGAATATGCTGTCTATATAATTTTCCATCTAGTCACATTTTATAAAAATGTCATTTTTTTTTGCCAAAATGCAAGTTGTAAGACGAAACCCAGCCACAGTGTACTTCTAAAGAACCCTTGTGTTGCTCTGGCAACGGCCTCCTTTCTCACCATTTGTCTCAATGCTGAACAGATTCAGGATTGGGGGGCAGGGCGGGGAGGCATGGAAAGGAAAGACTGGTGCTCACAGCTGCAAGTCCTTGGCTGAGGCTGGGCTGACCAGGTGCTAGGACAGTATGCTGGCAGAAGAAAAAGCAAGTCAGCTGCTCTGGACACTGGTATGGCAACTTTCTTGGCCATCCATTCAGGACAAGGGCTGCTGCCTGCATTGGCTTGAACGGCCTGATGAGGACCTGCGTCAGGGAGAAAGCCCACCGAATCCCTTCGCAGAAAGTGCCCCTGAACACATGAAACATGGCTTAGTCCATCTTTCTTATTATTTCCTTGCTGAGGTGTGGTGTTAGGCTGCAAAGGGAAAAGAAACCACTTCTTTCCTGGGTTTCAGTGCTCAGGGGCCCCTGGAGAGCAGAGTGACAAGACAGGAATCTCTGCCTCCTGCCAATTTAAAGTTGTGAGTAATTTCAGAATTTTTGAGATGCTGTCTAAGTAGTGTGGAGAGAAAGTTAAAATTTCTTTAGAAAACTCAGACTTTGAAAGAGACAAATGACCTGCAGACTGGCCCCTTGGGTGTACTCTTACCTCCTTCTCAATTCCTCTCCCCAAAGGCCTTATGCCTAGAGAAAAGCTAGAAAACCTCACTGGAGTGTACAAATAATACCTAAGAAATATGTACTTCACATAAATGACACACCATTTATGTGAAGCTACAAACAGAACACAAAAAGATGTGTTAAGACTAATCCACACTTGTAGAGGTGGAATTCACTGGACTAATCCATTATTCAAAACTGCATATTAGTAGCCTACAAAATTAAAGGGTGTTTATGTTGCTTCTTAATGACTTCAAAAGACAGGTTTGGTGTTGGGGCCCAAGACGTCCCACCTCATGATGTAAAAGGCCAATGGTTTGCTAGAAGGCAGATCAGTAGTGATGAGAAGTATTCCTCGAGAAGCAAGCCAGGAGTCTAACCTGCATACCATCATACTGATAAACCACAACCAAGGCATGAAATCATGGAGGATGTGCAAACTCAACATAGTGAGGGGAAGTTAAACAAATCCTCCTCTCTGGTCAACCAGGGATCTTCAACAAGATTTATAAATTATGTGTGCTGGCTTCACTTTATCTACATGTTTATTTTGACTTTTCAAAAGCCTTTGGTAATACTTTACAAAAGTTTTAAGGTAAACACCTGAGGTACTTTGTGAAAAGTGTGTAGGGGGGGTGAATTCTGTACTCAAAATCTTTCTTATTTAACATTTCTGGAAGGTGAAATGCCAAACCCAAGGGGATATACTTCAGATTTCAGAAGTAAATAAAAAGGGGACAATCAATTTTACAGAATCAGAAATCTAAGATTAAAAAAATACACATTTAAAGGTAAGGTTATATTTTCAGAATAGCAATGCTGATGTTCAGGGAGTTGGTACACTCATCTAAAGTAGAACTGCTAGTTAGTGGCAAAGCTGAAAAATGGAATTCTGGCCTCCTGGATTCTGTGAGTGCTTAGGATTGCTTTGGTCATTCATGATATGGCTGATCCTAGCAGATAAAGAAATGAGGGTCCTAAGATTTTTCTTTGAGACAAAGTTTAAAGGCCCTGGTGTCTGAATGGAGTACTCCCCTCACCCCCGTGAAAGCAAATCAGAATGTAGAGCAGGATCTCCATCATCTCTCTTGGCCCTTTATGTCTACTCTTTCCTGTAAATGCACACCACACATGGGCCCCCTAAGATTTGAGAAACAAACTTTATCTTATCAGCTATTTGGGGGGAAAAACACCCTGTCATTTGATCTGTTTATTTGGAAGCAAGCCCTGCTGAGCTCAAGCATTTGAGGCAGAGTAGAGTTAATTCATTTGGGGTCTGTTTCTTTGCAGCCCTGGACACACGGCTCAACACTTATCTTTACACCAAAGAGGCCCATGTTCTCTTAAATTTGCTGAGGAATCACCTGTGCCCTTCATTTAGCTCTGTAAGTGGATTCCTGTTCTTCCCCCTTTGTATCTTGGTTAAAAAGTTAAAACACCCCCACCCCTGCAAAATTAAAGCAACAGTCCATTCCTTCCACTTCCATGGGATGTCTTCCAACAGCTTCCTGTGTGTTTCTGCCACACAGAGTCCTTTGAGCTGTCCCTTGGGACAGACTGCTGCTCTCTTGGTTCAGAATCTACCTTTCAACAATCTGGAGGAAGTCTAGGAAAGTGCAGGGGGCAGTGGATCTTTTCCTTTAGCTCACAGCCTTCCCTGGGGGAATCACCATAAAGAGCTCATACTTTTCTTCCCACCCATTTCTAACAAGCTCTTTAGTGAGAAACTGCCAGAAAGTGGAAGAGTTAGCTTGCATTTTCTGATCTGAGTGCACAGAACATTCTGTCAAGCTCCAGGAGACAGACAATTTAAATCAGAACAGCATTAAACACAGAGCAGCTGATACTAATTCCTTCCCAGTCTGTATTTTCCCTACCCAACACTGAAACCATAGGGTGGCAGGAGCAGGCTGGAGGCTTCCTATTGAACACCCACACCAATTTCCTTAGCAGAACACTTGGTGCAGGTGGGACTCACTCTCACCACCATTCTTCCAGCAGATGCAGTGACAAGGAAAGCATGATTTTAATTGAATGGAGAAAGCAAAAAGGAGTAGTTACTCAAACAAAACTCAATAATTTAGACCTAGAGGGAATAAGCCATGAGGAAGTTCAGGCCACACAAGAGAAGGGGTCTTCCTCCTGGGTTAAGAGTTAACACAGGTAAACCTCATTAAAGGGAAGGTCTTTTTCAAAAGCAGCAAGAAGCCAGTGTGAATCAACAAGTGCCAAGCTGCAGTGGAAGTCTGTTTCCCTGGAGTGAAAGCTGTTTCCTTCTGTCCTGCTCACTTACCTGCGATTCCTTGCAAGAGCCCGCAGACGTTGAAAATGCTTTTCTTCATGATGCTTTGCACACACATGGTGAAGACTGACACCAAGGCCACCATGCAGAGAATGAAGATCCCCACGGCCAGGAAAATAGCAGTGGCCTGCCAGAAGCCACTGGCGATCTCGCCGAAGCTCTCAGCGTAGGGCCCGCACAGCGTGTCCCGCGGGAAGTGCTGCACGCCGGGGTTGCGGATGCAGCGGGCATAGATGCCCAAAGTTGGGTGGTAGGGCTCGGAGGGGCTCCCGCCCGCGCCGGCCGGCTCGGCATTGCCGCGGCTCTTAGCTTTCCCAATTAGCCAGTCCGCGCTCATGAAGGCAATGAGCTCCGCAAAGGCCACCACAATACTCAGGAGGGTCCAGAGCATCGAGCGGCAGGTGACAATGACATGACACATATTGATGTTCACGGCGGAGAAAGAGGCAGGAATCCACGGGGTCAACCAAAACAGCTAGCCGACTAGGCGGGAGGCTGCTCAGGAAGGCTGGGAAGGAAGTCGCAGCAGTGGTCATTCACTCCCGCGGCCGGCGGCAGCAGCGCGGTCCCGGGCGCGCGGCATTCGTGCTGAGAGACACCGAGTACTGCGCTGGGCGGCAGCAGCCCCGCGGCGGCCTCACCTAGAGCAGAGGAAAGAGCGGAGGGCGTGAGCGGCTCGCCAGGCCCCGCCCCGCGCCGCCCACACACTCGCGGGCTGCACCCGCCCCCTCGCGGGACGCCGGCCACCTTCCCGCCTCGGCTCCGCGTCCCTGCTCCACCCGCTCTTCCCGCTCCGTCCGGTCAGCGACAGAAGGGTGTCTAGCACACTCTGGTCCCCAGGCAGCATGCATAACCGGTCTTAGCATATATGGGGTTTGTTTCCACTTCTCTGAGACCACAGGCTCAAAACTGGGGCAGCATAGCAGGAGAGAGTGGCGCTAGCACCCACCGGGGCACCCAGTCATACAGGGGACACAGCTCAGGTGCTGAACTCTTGGGAGCAGCTGGCTCCTGATCTCTTATCTTTTATTAGGGAAGGGGGGAGGGAAAAGGCAGTGCAGGAATCCAGATCAAGACAGTGAACTATGTCAGTAGACTGGCTATGTTTTCTAAAGTGTGCTGGACTCTGGCTACTGTTCTGGTATTAGATACGCTAAATTCTAGAAAACTTGCACCAAAAACTTTTGCTCGGCAGCAGAGAAATAATTTCCAACTTTTATTGTCTGGAAATAAAATTACTAGCAGAGAAATAAAATTATTTGCTTCCTAGGTAAATGAGAATGTAAAAGGAAAAACCCATGAAAAAGAATAAACGAAATATTGCTACCCAAATTTATCTTTCACCTATTTTTCATATTATTTTAGACAAAATGATTTATATTAATTAAAACTCAAGAAGGGGGAAAACCTCATAGAAGAGTTCATGGCTTACTAGGAAAAAATATTCAAAACAGAGACATTAATGACCATTAACTATGATTACAACTGAGTGGACTTGTTGACAACAGAAACTTGTCTATGAAGAATGCATCTCTTGAATTGTCCCAATTCATCACATGTGCCTCTGCCTTAGCTTCAGTTCACCCCAGGTCTGGAACTCAACATGCCCATTGTTTCTGATTTCACAGAGGGCTCATTCTGTTCCTGAGGACAAATGACTTCATTACCAGAGGACTTTGCCCCAGTGGCTCAACCCTCTTTCAGAGCCTGAACCCTGAATCAGGGGCTGGCAGTGCTCATCTGCAGCTCTGTTTTCTGCCCCTTCTCCAAGGTCAGGCAGAATCAAGATGCGCATATCTGACATCTGGGCATATGGCCCTTCTCTGAGTGTTCAATCTTATTATGTCAACTCCATGAGAACTACAAAGAACTCCTCAGCATACTGAGCTCTGTTGAGGCAGAGAGCTATCTAAGAGGGAAGGGGGTAGGGAAATAAGGAAGCCCAGTGCCAAAGCTTAACATGCCTGTTTTTACACCAAGCATCAGCTCTGCCTGCTGGTTGAGGTCCTAGTGAGTGGCGACTTTACTCTTCTCATGAATCATAATGTCTTTAAAAACTCCTCACATCACTGTTGCTACACAAGATGCTATTTTGAGGACATAGTTAGTGTAATACAGGGAACATATGGACCTAATTGTCAGGGTGTATGTGTGTGTGCAATGGGGCTGTGCTAAGCACTGGATAAGGGAGAGGTGGTGTGTTCCACTGAGGGAGTTTTAGTGTCCCTCAGATCTGGGTTCCAAAGCCGCTTCCACCACCACCTGGGTTTACCTACACACTGGAGACAGTAAAGGTATCTAGCACACAAGATGGGTGTAAGGAAGAAACAAGCACATCTTAAAGCATTCAGCACAGTGCCCAGCAGAATAAGAGTTCTGTAAGTATCAACTTCCTTCCTTCAGTAGAAAACCAATTTGCTATGTAATCAGCCCCTCTCCATCCCTGTCCCTCTAGTTAATGGCAATTTTTCAATGTGAATATACATATTAATTCCTGTGCTAAAATGCAGGACTCTTCTACAATCTCTCAGGTGACTTGTATCTTAATGGCTATGACAGTGTCCGCTGTCCTGGTCAGCAAGCTCAGCTTGGGGTCAGGAATGCAAGTAGGTTGCAGTTTCCCATGAGAAATGCTGTGAAACTTCATAAGCAAGGAAGATGATGGGGTGTTTGGGCTTAGCAAAGTGGTCCATGTCAAATTGGAGGTAGGACAATTTAAAGGCCCACATGCTTAAGCTCAGAAAATATAGTTCCCTCTCTATTTGTGCTAAAACAATCACCAGTTCTTGTATTTGCACTAGAATGGCTGGGATGTGGCCTCTATTCTGTTTTGAACTGGAGATAAGATGCTTTGGTCTCTCCTGAATGTTTACTAACTGCTGCTATCAGAGGACAGCCACAATATGCAAGGCTAACTGACTAAAACTGTATCTTCCTGGGGATTCAAATGAAGTCTAATTTAGGGTGCTGGGACAAGGGGAAATCTGGAAAGGCAGCAGGGGGTTTCTGGAATGGTCTGAGTCATATGAAGTGTCCCAGTTAGGCCATATGCACAGAAAGGCAGGCACCTGCTGAGACAACATTTCTATCAAAGGGGAAACAGATCTTTGTTATAGATCCTTGTTAGCAGCAGGGAAACTGGACACAGTCCTCCTCAGAGCTCCATGAAGCACACTCATAAAACCAGGCCCCAATGCCATTTCATGTAAAAGTCTTCTCTCCATGGGTCACTAAATGCCTTTTTCCTCTAAGCTACCTGACTTTACTACCACATCCCTGATGACTGGGTAATTTGGACAGCCCTCTGACTTTCAGAAAATAATGTTACAATTGTCACAAAGGTCCACAACATAAACCCTCTTAGCAAATAACTTACATACACACACACAACAAAAACAAACAAAACAGAAAACCAGAATCATGCAGAAATCTACAATTTCATTGACGGAACAGAGAGAAAAGAGGAGTTTATAAAGGCTCATCTGTGGTCGTTGGTAGTATACTGTATACATCCTTCACATTGCCCTAATTACAAGAAGGGAGAAGGTGGTGAGTAGCTCTGAGCTGGCATTTGTAGCTTGGATCACTGGGTTCCATCTCTGGCACCTTTCTGTTGTCAGTTGGAAGGGAAAGTACACATGTAGCCAGAACCAGGCGGTGCCCACTGACTAGGTTACGGGAATAGAAACCTAGGAGCAAAGTGCACCTCCACCTAGAAGGTGGAGAAAGACTGGAAGAACATCAGTCAGAGCTGCAAATAGCCCCACTTTCCAGCATGACAGGAACAGTAGAGAGTATGGCTAAGACAGTGTTTTGAAGAGCACTACCTTGCTTGCTCGCCTGGGTTCTGTTTCTTAACTTTACTATAAAAATTTCAAACACAGATATAAGTTGACAAGAATAAACATTGAGGGGCTGGGGGATGTGGCTCAAGTGGTAACACACTTCCCTGGCATGCTCGGGGTGCTGGGTTCGATCTTCAGCACCACATAAAAAAAATAAAATAAAGATATTGTGTCCACCAAAAACTGAAAAAAAAAAAATAAAAAAAAAATTCTCTCTCTCTCGATTCTCTCTTCTCTTAAAAAAAAAAAAAAAGAATAAACATTGAGCATCCATGTACCAACACCCAGATTCAGCATTTGCTAACATTGTCCTATATCTGTTCCACTGATCTACAGCATACACATTTTTTTTCTGAACCACTTAAAAATGAGTAGCAAATGTTGAATACTCATCCCTAAATACTTTAGCATACATATTCTAAAAATAAGGACATTTTCCTCTATAAACACAAAAAAATTAATATAATTGGGAAAGGTGACAATAATACCCTTATAGCCAATGCCTAATCTATACTCCTAATCCATTTCCATATCTCATTCCATTTTTTATAGTCTTTTTTTTTTTTCTCAAACCATGACTCATGCATTGTATTTGGTTGGTTTCTAGACAAGAATAGTCTTTCCTCCCTGATCTATCCTCCCTACTTTTCCCAATATTAACTATTTGAATATACTAGGCCAGTTATCTCACAGGATATCCAACAACCTAGATCTGTATATTTTCTCCTGAGGTCACTTAAACTTGTTCTGTATCATCTGTTTCATAGAAACACGTTAACTCCAAAAGCCAGTTCAGATTCAGCTTAAACAAGTTTACAGAGAATCCAAAATCGTGATGCCATACACTTCCTACTACATCACTGGGAGGAACATTCCTGGGTCTGCACCTCAGAACCAGAATAATTTTATGCATAGATGTGTGTGCGTGTGCGTATGTGTGTGTGTGTGTTTCTATATACACACATACACATCATATGTGTGTTAGTTCCAAACCGGAAGAGTCAGAATTAGTGGGGAATGAGTGAAGGCTGGTCTGGGCAGGCCCCTGCATGTTTGAAGATTCCCTCCTGGTGGATTCTGAGAGATGCCATCCTGGAAGCTGAAGAGGAATTTTCAGAAATGTGTGCTGTATTTCCTTGAAATGGACCTATGTTTTATTTAAAAAAAAAAAAAAATCTGTAGACCTAGGGAGGGAGATAACAACCTAAAAGAGATGTGGCCCCTCCCTGGAGAGTTTTACTTGAGCCAAGAGAATGCTGATTACAAGAGAGAAAACCTTTCATGTAACAGAGTTACAATTTAACAGTAGCCTGGAGACCACAGCCCTTCCTCCAACTCCAGAGCCTCCTTTCAAAAGGACAACCTGGCTTCCATGGACACTGCTCTCTGCCCACTACCCCTGCCCTTCAACCCATCCAGAGGGGCAGTGGGCACCAGGAAGTACCACATTGGCTTTTGCATGAAACTATGTGAGTGGGGAAAACACAACACTTTCAGTGTCATAAACGGACCCAAGACCAAATCTCAGCTCTGGGTCTTTTCAGGCTGTTTACATCAAAACTCTGCAGGTCTCAGTTTCCTTACCTCCAAAATAAGGCAAGTAGCACCTTGCTCACAAGCCACAAGGAGCAAAGGTGAGTATGTGTGTGTAGAATCCCCAGCACACCTTCTAATTCACAGGGCCCAACTTATGTCACTAACTGATGATTAAGTGTGCTTAG